GCTGGTGTCATCTCGGCCACGGTGCTCTAGCTTTGTCGCGCCGCCCACGCCAGCACCTCTTATTTGCCTCCCTCAACTCGTTGACGTGAGTCCTCCATTCATGCATACGTAGCGTATTTTGAGTTTTTGTCGTCTCGAGAGGCGTGTGGAGCAGTGTCGTTGGTCGCAAGTGTAAGGTCGATTTGAGATTGGGTATTGAGAACACGATTTGAGATTGAGTTTGGGAAACTCTGTGTGCACGCAGATCCTATATCGACTGTGAAAGGTGTTGCAACTGGAATATCAATTGAAAGAGGTTTTCAAAATTCGCAAGAAATCTAGCAGATCCTGCGACGATGGAAGAAGCACAAGGGAGCATGGCGATGGCGCCGGCCGAGATCATGCTGGACGCGGTCCGCGCGGAAGAGGCCTGGACGGGCGTCGAGCTGCTCGTCTGCGCAGTGCTCCAGCTGCTGCTCGTCTTCCTCGGCTACCGGCTCGACCGCGCGACGACCCACACGATGATGATCCCCGAGTCGGCGTATGCGATCGTCTTTGGCCTCTGCGTACGCTCGCTCTCGCCTCTTCCTTCTTCCTGAAGATGCATGTAGTTTGGCGCAGTGCTCAAGTTCTGCACGCCTGTCGACAAGATCGGGCTCAACCCGCAGGTCCTTTTCTTCGGGTACCTTCTCTCGGCATATGACTCCGTACGATGCATGCGATTAGCCTCTTGCCGCCCATCATCCTCGAGGCGGGGTTTAGCATGAAGAAGCGCGTACGTTGCTCGAGCCATCGTTGCCACGCGACTGTACGGTCGTCATGTAGGGGTTTTTCACCAATTTTTCGACCATCTTGCTGCTCGCGATCGTCGGAACACTCGTGGCAACGTTCATCACGGGCGGGCTCTTGATTTGGCTCGGGCGCCTCGGGCTCATTACGGCGCTGACGCCGGCCGAAGCCTATCTCTACGGGTCGCTCATCTCGGCCGTGGACCCTGTCGCGACGCTCTCAGTCTTCAAGAAGAACGACGCGCCGCCCATGCTCTTCAACCTCGTCTTTGGCGAAAGCGTCCTCAACGACGGCGTCGGTACGCTGCTTGCATTTTCGACTATTTTGCGACCATTTTGCGTCCACTTTGACATTTGGGGTCGATTTTTCGCCAACTTATACGAATTTTGTTGTAGCGATTGTGGTATTTACGCTCTTTCAAGAGTTTATTCGTCATGGCGTCAGCGACGTCGACCACCACGCGGCGTTCATGGTCGTGCTCAAGGTGCTCGCCATCGGCATTGGCTCGGTCGCGCTCGCGGCCGCAGTTTGCTTCATCTCGGCCTTTATGCTCAAGGTAACCTCGCCATATATTCTTTATTCATCTGCGAGGCTAGATTGCCGACCCAATGCTGCAGCAGTACCCGCACTATGAGATCTCAATCGTGCTTCTCTCGGCCTACATTAGGTACTTCCACAAACCCTTGGTTTTGATTCAGTCCCTTGTGTCTTTAGCTACGTGGTCGGCGACCTCGCGGGTCTCTCTGGCATCGTCGCGCTCTTCTTTTCGGGCGTGCTCATGAGCCACTACCACTTGACCAACATGTCGCAGGAGAGTGCCACCGCGCTCAAGCACCTCCTCGCGACGCTGGCATTTCTGGCCGAGAACTTTATTTTTCTCTACCTTGGCGTCTCGGTCGTCGCATGTACGACGACGCTCGCCTTGCCCTTGCTCGCATTCATGGACTGTGTAGACTCGTCGTCGTTCAAGTGGGACTGGCGTTTTCTCATTCTGCAGCTGCTCGTGCTGCTGCTGGCGCGCGCCGCCAACACGTTTCCGCTCTGCGCCCTCGCCAACCTCGGTCGGAAGGACCCGATTCCATTTTCGGTATCGACGCTCTGCGCCTTGTTGGATGCTGAGAGGAGCTGGAGTAGCACATGGTGGTCATTTGGTTCTCGGGTCTCCGCGGTGCGATCGCGTTTGCCCTTGCGCTCAACGTCTGGACGCCGGACGAGTCGCACGCCGGCGTCATCAAGAGCAGTACGCTCTTCACCGTCATGTTTACAACCCTCGTGCGACGCTCGACGCTCGTGAAGCGCGTCTGATGCACGCGCCATGTAGGTCTTTGGCGTCTCGACCGGCCCGCTCTTGACGTACGTCGGGCTCGGGAAGCGCCATGCGCCGTCGCCATTCCTGTACGTTCTGCAAGACCAAGGCCATTCGGTGCGAAGATGATCGGACATTCTGCTGTGTATAGGCGCCCCGAAGCGGTCAAGCTCCTTGACGAGGTGCACGATTGCGGCGGCGACCCGATCTCGCCGACGGCCGAGACGGGCATGCATGGCATCTGGAACGACATGGACGCCAAGTACCTCATGCCGGTCTTTGGCAAGCAGCGCCAACAAGAGACCGAGTCGCATGCGACCATCAGTAGTATGAGCAGTAGCGGTTTGTCGGACTACGAACGTCCGTGATCTCTATTGCGTCATTTATATTTGCTCGCCCACACACTCTTTCTCGTCTGGTATCTTCATCTTGGTGGTCGTGGGTCGCCTCGTCGCGCGTTTGAGGCCTGCTCGCCGATTGTCTGCATGCGGCGGAGTCTGTACACAGGTCGTGCCAAGAATCGGGCAGGTCGGTCGCTGTACAGGAAAGGATTGGGCGGCGCGGCGAAGGCACAGGAGCGACGACGACGATATGAGGATCGCGCGTAGTCCCATGGGGTCGACTATATCGGTGGGTCGTCGCGCCGGCGGCGGTAGGTGGCACAGAGGGGTACGAGGCAGCGCGCTTGGGCGCAGTCGGCCGCATGGTCCTGCACGATCATGGTCCAGAGCTTGCACGCCGCGCAGGCACTGCGGTCGTGGCCTGCGGGCTGCGTTGCGAGGTGCAGCTCTACCTTCTTGACAAAGGCGAGCGTCGAGGCGCAGAGCTTATTGTCGCAGCCGGCGCAGGTCGCGACATGGCGCAGGCCGCGCAGCACCGACTGCATCTTCTCGGTCTGCAGGACGGGGTTGGGCCGGACGCAGGGCCGCTTGGCCACCTGCGTCGTCGCTTGCTGGTCATCGTCCTGGCTGCAGTCGTCGTCGAGGAGCCGGCGCTTCTTGAGCTGCAGCAGCGCCATGGGACGTCGTATATCGAGAATGAAGGCCACCGAATCACCGCTGGGGGCGGCGCCGACCATCACTCGGGCGCCCAGCGCCCACAAAGAACATGCGCGCAAGCTTCCCGATTGGAGGCCGCTTTCTCACAAGCGTCTCACTCGGCCCATAGAAACCTGCTATTTCGCTGGAGCTACGTCAGTGATGGTCCGACAATCGCGTTGCGAAGCCGATCGCAGACGTGTGTGGCAGTGGTGAATTGAACGTGAATAGCACCCAACGACTAATAGGACGAGGTTCCCTCGGCGTGGTTGCTACTGGTGATTGTAAAATCGATTGAGCTCAGACCGCCATCGTCGGTGAAGAGGCTCGTTGATACATGTATCCGACCTTGCGTGTCTAAACTCCTCGCCTAGCAATAATATCGTAGGTGGAGGCTCGACCAGTGATCTTGTGGCATCGAGCACGTGCGGTCAGTTCATGGATTGTAGAAGGCCTCAAGTGTTGGGCTAAAGCAACCACCGCAGCCTGCAGGGACCGAGTGCTCGTCGATGCAGACGGTCATGGGAAATGATCCTATATCCGGATCCGGGAGAGGGCGAGTAACGCCAGACACAGCCATCCAGATCTTATCCGGACAAATGCGTTGAGCCGCGATGTGCAAGACGGCCGGCGTCACCTCCAGGCGATGCAGAGCATATTATTGACGCTTTGGTACTCCAATTAGGCAATGTGAACTTGGAGCCGTTGACGTCGCGCTGGCATTCTACGACATACGAGACTCGTCGCCTGGCGCAGAAAACTGCGGGGTCAGGTGCGTGTATCATCTTCAATGGAGCGTGCAACCAGCCCCCTAGGGTTATCTGAGAACAATTCCACTCGTTGATTGCTCGTCACCGGCCGCAGATCTGAGCTACAGGTTTACCATGGGCGATGTCAAGACGACATTGTCCTAGCCCTTTTGATCAAGTTGGTCAATACATGTAAATGCCACAAGCGGGAAAAGGGTTCTTGCTTACTTTACAACCGAGCTCGACTACCTGCTGTAGCTCCTAGGTGGAGTCTTGCACGGGCAAATTGCCCGCGAGAAACCCCAGACAACGTACAACTGGTAGAATTATTCGTGTCGATATTGGCAGATTGATCGAGGTGTTTTGGGGCATGGAGGTCGTCAACTTGAACGATCTGAAATTCCGCATACGCGCATTTGATTGGTCCAATATGCCGGGCGTTGGCCAATCCGCGTGGCGTATTTTATGTTTGCAAGCGAGGCCAGTTCCAACTTGACCATGCCAACGCAAGTCCCGCTGCTTGACGGATCGCTCTACTACGTAGCGTACGACGCGCCCATGCCCAAGGCGCCCGACGTCCTCTACCTCAACGCCGACTACCGCTATATCGCGTACTTTGAAGACTTTGGCCCGTTCCACTTGGGCACGACGATGCAGTTTTGCGACGACCTCTCCGCGCTCGTCGCCCAAGCCAAGCGCGAGCACAAGGTCGTCCACGCGTGCACGCGCCATGGCCTCGAAGAGCAAGCCAACATGGTGCTCTCTCGATAGATACAGCCTCTCATTACATGCATTAGATGTGCCTCCTGGGCTGCTATGCTGTGCTGTGCGCTGGCATGACGCCCGCCGACGCACTGCGCCCATTCCACGACACGCAAGTAGCCTACTTTCACGACGCCACGGACGACGAGTGCTCGTTCGAGCTCTCCGTCTTGGATGTGGTCGAAGGATTTGCGAACGCGCTTGCGCGCAAGGTACGTGGTGCGAACTTCGCCGCATTCTCAAAATACGATGCTAGTACGTTGTTCGCGATCGATTTAGTGTGGCCGACTATGTCCACTACGAGAGCGTCGAGCACGGCAACTTGAATTGGATCACGCCGCGTCTACTGGCGTTTGCAGGTCCGTCGGCGACGACGCACCCGCCGTCTTTTTTTGTCCCATATTTTCAACGCCACAACATCACGCTCGTCGTGGGCTTGAACGAGCCGCTGTACGACGCCACGGCCTTTACCGAAAGGGGCATTGAGCACGTTGACTTGAGCTTTCCGGACGGCACCACTCCCTCCGAGGTCCTCTTGCGCACCTTCTTTGATGCGTGCAACGCGACACCAGGGGTATTTCTTAATGGAATGCGCGTCATACGGTCAGGCATAGGCGGTCGCAGTGCACTGCAAGGCGGGACTCGGTCGCACGGGCACGTGCATTGCTGCCTACCTCATGCAGCACGACGGGTTCTCGGCGAAACAAGCCATTGGCTGGCTACGGTACCGCATCAACAACCCTGGTATATGATGCAGAAGGAGTTGTAGACTCTGTCGCCCGGGTAGCGTCATTGGCCCGCAACAAGACTTTCTCGTCGCCAACGAAGCGACCAAGTGGGTGTCGATGCCGCTAAGTGTTGCCGAGCCACGTGTACGAACACGTTCGACAAGGGACGGCGGGACTCAGACCGGATCGTGTGTAGGCCAAGCTGCCAACCGCTGCTTGGAACCAAGGCGCCCAGCTCTTACTGCAGCGCAAGCGCAAGCGTTGTCCAACGCGAGAGACAAATGCGAGCAGCGTGCGACTCAAAGCTTAGCTCTCTTCGTGTCTCAGAGTCGGCAACCATGCGCGCGCCGGTTCGTTTGGATTGTTTACATAGTTTCATCAAGTGTATCTTCACGTCGCCAGAAGGCGCTACGGCGATTCCGATCTATTGCAAAGCACTCGCTCATCATGAAATGCAGCACAATAAGATCTGCCGTTCGTATTTGAGGTCGACGCAGAGACTGCCACGTCACCATCTGAGTCTGAGCGAATGACGTGGCAGCCTCCTGTCCTTGCTCCCGAAACAATGGATCGAAAACGACAAGGATCGGTTGGAATTTGATAAAACACATACATCTAGGACCGTTTGGTCATGCCGCGCGGCCTCTACGGTGGACTAGACAAGAGCTCGTCAAGAAAATCGCACTCGTCCTCAGACCACTGGGTAGGAGGCTGTTGGACGTCAAAGGGCTCTATCTCATCGAGCTGCGTATCCGAAAGAAGCAGCGCGACGATGGCCATGTCGGCAACATCGGACGTCGTCGCGCGTTGCGGCACCGAAAATGGAATCGGCTCTGGCAAGCCGGACGCGACTTCACGCTGGCGCTGGGCCAAGATTTGCTGCTTGCGCTGCGCGCGCTGGCTCTGGCGACGCTTGGCCGCATACGCTTTTTGGATCGCATTGGCTTTGGTGCGGTGGTACTCGCAGAGCGTGTGCAGCACGCCGCTTCGCCGGTAAATGCGCGGGTTGGGACATTTCGAGTAGGTGTACCGGCATCGCTCGTCGTCGCTCGTGGCCGGCGATGCACTGTTGCTGTGACGACTGCACATGGTATTTCATTCTGGCGTGAGCTGTTCAAGTCGTCGCGGCGTTGATGCATCAGGCAGAAGCAAGCGACAACAAAGCATTGACCATCAGTCGAGTTGACAGAGCGAATTCAGCGACTAGGGTCGCGGGCTCGTGCGACGCGCCAATGTACGTACGCGTACAATCAAATACAAATTTCAAGATAAAAAGCGTACAAAACAAATGTACGGGAACGTGTCCCACATGAAAACTTTTGAATTGCGCTGCGTTGACATCGTTTCGCGTACGCACTATGAGCAAATGGACTAGGCGTCGGAAAGGATACTATGGGGCACAGCACGAATAGCCACGTTTACTTGTGTGCATGTGTATAGTATGTAGAGCGTCAACGGATTGCGGCCTCGTGATCGTGCTGACGTGTGTTGGTTACATGCACGCTGCGCTCAAAGGGTTCAGCGGCATGAATCCGGTATTGATATGAGGCACTAGACTCGTACGACCCATGGACACACAAGTAAGCGACTGGATACTTGGATCCGTGCATTATCTCTGTGTGTTTAAAGTCATGCCTACACAACGACTAGCCACAACCGTGTGCCCTTTAATTGGTCACCGCTGCGTGGACGGGCGAGCAGTTTCAAGACGCTATTGTTATTTGGGCGACCTTGTGGCTCCAGTGCGCATGACGAAGCGCTCGCACGTATGACACTTGACAGTTTCATGAGTCAATAAACCATGACAGTTTCTAAGTGTCATGTAAGCAAAGCATCGCAGACTAGTGAAATCGTCTGCGGACGCGAGGCGTGGGTGCCCTAAGGAAGCGTGCACGTGGAGCGACCTCATTGTATCGAGGTGGCTTGACGTGGCTCTAGTGTCCTTTGGCAACGACACTTGCCTGCAAGTGCATTCTCTATCGTGGGTAGAAACATGCATTCCGGACTTTTCGCACCATTTTCTGTGCCACCGAATCCAATCCGATTTTACACACTATTGCATACGAGGAATGTGGGTTTCTCGATATCGAGGGGTTTAACTTATTAGATTTTATATATATATTCTAGCACGCACGCAATAGTCGCGGGCGATGTCACTCGGACGGCATGAGTTCGGAGAGAAACTCCTTTTCTTCGTCCGAGAGGGGCGTAGCTTCTGACCACACGTTGGTCGGCTCAATGTCGTCGGTCATCTCAGGCAGAAACATTGTGAGAGCTTGGAGGTCCATGGGCTCGATCGAGAGCGGCGTCGGCGGCGCGAGCGGGCGATACGGAATCGGTTCCATGGGGCCGCTATACCGGATGGGGCGCGGCGGGAGGCCGGCCGCACCGCGCTGTGCGCGCAGTCGCTGGCGACGCTTGGTCGCATACGTCTTTTGAATCATATTCGCCTTGTTGCGGTGGAATTCGCAGAGCGTGTGGAGGACGCCGTCGTTGCGGTACGTGCGCATGTTGGTGCACGACTTGTAGGCGTACGTGCACCGAAGATGCGCGGGCTGGGACATCTTTGGTGGGAGCATAAGAGAGCAAAAGCAAAAATGAAGGAAATGTTTGGTTGGTATCCCTTGCAAATCAGGGATCCGGCCCGTCGCAGGCACTCAAAGATTACCCGCCCAAGGTAAACTTTTCTTGGCCCAAGTAGCTTGCGACATGACATTGTACGAGTGTACGTACGTTTGTACTCAATGTAAGTAGCTAATGTACGGTACGATGTACGATGACCCTCGTGATCAGCGTGTGACACGCTCGTGGGAAAGTGGACGGTGGCGCGCCGAGTGTCGGCAAAGATCGTTAGACACGCGGGCCGCTGGGACATCCCGCGATCTTTTGAGCGCTGAGTGGTGGCGACGTCGACGGAGCGAGCGTCGAGTAGCCGCGATCGCATGCGTGCTCGACGAAGCGCCTGCGATATGCCGCTGTGTTTACATGCACCTTGGCGCTGGGCGGTTTCTTGAGGCTGTCGGCCATTCGCCGACGTCGTCGATGGCAACAACGAAGGCCGGTTCGAGTGAGACAGCGACGCCGCGCTGCAGCGATGACTTGTTCATGTAGCTGATGCGTCGAGGCGCTTACCGGGCACACACGGCGTCGCGTCAACGCGCTTCCCAAGGATATCGAAGCGTCTTGTTCGTATTTTCGAACGCACCCACCGAGTGATTGGAACCGGTCACGCCGCACCCAGAAACGAACAACACGCGAGCATAAATAAGATGCTTGGCTGGGAACGCTGGCCACATACCAGTAGCCGCGCCTCGCTCACGCTCTGTCGATGAAAATCCCATGCCTCGACGGCATGTTGAAGTTGCTGCGCGCCTGGCTAAGGTGGGAAATGCGACGACCACGTGGTGAATATTGCACTCGTTTCCTGTGCCTTCTGGCAACGACACCGGCGGCACTTGGGTGATCTTGTGATCTTGTGGGCAGTGCAGAACCGTTCACTCTTCGTTGGCTACTACTTTGTCCAAGGTGTGGCATGCAACATGTTGAGGGAATGAACGCGTACACGCAATCGAAGGCCTTGTCAATGAACGGTACTGGACCTTGCACAGTAGAGAAGTTCGTGATTGCTCGACGCAAAGTACTTGACGACACCATTCTTGAACCGCTTCTCCACTCCGAGACGCACGTTCCATTTTTTCGCAGCGATACATGGGTCGTGTCTTTGCCGGATGGACCCCGTTGATTGTCTTGG